CAAAGGCGCGGGATTACAGGCTGAGCCACCGAGCCCGGCTTTCTAGTAAACTTTTGATTCCTTGTCAAGGCCAAAGTCATAAGACTTTGTGAGTTGCAAATGTCTAACAAGTCTCTTGCAGGAATCCTCCCCCCCCCCCAGGATTAACCTAATCAGCCCTCTGTGAACTATATGACACAGATAAGCCCCACCATGGCAGCAATCATGTGACTAACCCACCCATCTGCCTGCTGTCCATCACCTGACATCATCAGTACCTGTGCTTTTCTGCCCCTTTGTGATGACGTGAAAGCAGACCACCACCCAATCACCTAATGACCTTCCCCCGTCAAGAGGAAAGGTTAAAAGGATACAACCACAAGCAGCCAGCGCCCATTGCCTTGCTAGACTCTGGTGTAGCCATGTGCTCTTTGAGCTATGACTGTCACCATGCTTCCTGGCTTTGGCCTCCTCCCCCACCTAGGGGAGATAAGTCTTTTTTCTCCCTTCTCTCTCTCTAATTTGCTTTTAAATAAACTTTTTTTTTAAACCTCTTTGTGTGTTGCAATTCTTTGCATTAACTCGGATCTCTGGGTTACTGGTGCCGCGCCTATCCTCCCCTCTTCAACCCTCCAGCACGCCACCCTCACCCTATCCGAACCCTGACTCTACCCTTGATATGGTGTGATGGAAATGATCTTTCTCCCCAAACCTATAATCCCAGTTCAATCATGAGAAAACATCAAATTCCAATAGAGGGGCATCCTGTAATATAATTAACCAGTACTCCTCAAAACTATCAAGGTCAGGCTGGGCACAGTGGCTCACACCTGTAATCCCAATAACTTCAGGAGACGGAGGCAAGAGGATTGCCTGAGCCCAGGGGTTTGAGACCAGCCTGAGCAACTTGGCCAGACCTCATCTCTACAATAAATCAAGAAATTAGCCGGGTGTGGTGGCACGCACCTGTAGTTCCAGTTACCTGGAAGACTGAGGTGGAAGGATCACCTGAGCCTACCAGGTTGAGGCTGCGGTAGCCGTGAGGGTGCCACTGCACTCCAGCCTGGGCGACAGAGTGAGACTTTAGAAAGAAAGAGAGGGAGAAGGAGAGGGAGAGGGAAAAAGGAAGGAAGAAAGAAAAGGAAAATAAATAGTGACCCTTGGTCATACACTATACTCAGGTTGATACGTGAATGGTGCAGAAACTTGTGGGAAACATAAAGATAAGGCTTTGGAGTGAGACAACTGGGAATGGACTCCTGGTCCTGCCATTTACCAACTGTTTGATCATTCATCACTTCCCCTCTCTGAGCCCAAATTGCCTCTTTTGTAAAATACTTACTTGGCTAGATTGTTGTGAGAATTAAATTAAGTGAAATAATTACCGTATTTCCCCAGTTTCTCTGATGGTAAAGCTTGCCTGAGGGATCTTGTTAAACAGCATCCCAGAGACGCGCCTCCAGACTCCAGAAACTGAATTACCAAGGAAGAGCCCAGGAATCTGTGTATTTAACAAGCATTTTGTCACCTTGGAAATTGGAAAAAAACTATGAGGTCCAACAATTAGGTTTGCCAGTCATCCTAGTAAAAGTGCTACATACCTCATTGCTGACCTATAGTCACCTTCAAAGTACTCCCCTTGGGAAGGTATGCACCGACACCAGTGCCTATGCCACCCGACAAAGCAATTTTTTTCAACTTTTAATTTTTTTATTTTAAAGATATGGGGTACAATTCAGGATTAGGTATACAGATGTTCATTACGCAGGTACCCTTGTCGATGAGGTTTACACCCCCGTCCAGTGTGTCGATGAGGTGTGCCCCCCCAGCAGATTCCCACTATTGCCAATCCAACCCCCCCACCCTAGCAGTTTCCTGCTACTACCAATCTTTTTCTATTTTTTTCTTTTTTTTTTTTTGAGTTGGAGTCTCACTCTGTCACCCAGACTGGAGTGTTGAGTTGGAGTCTCACTCTGTCACCCAGACTGGAGTGCAGTGGCCACTCTCGGTCACCGCAGCCTCGACCTGCTGGGCTCCGGCCATCCTTCCGCCTCAGCCTTCCGAGTAGCGGAATTACAGGCATGCGCTACCACGCCCGGCTGAGTTTTTGATTTATTGTAGAGATGAGGTCTCGCTGCCCAGGCGGGTCTCGAAACCGCGGGCTCAGGCGATCCACTCACCTCAGCTTCCCAAAGGCGCAGGATTACAGGCTGATTTTACTTTTTAACACTACCTACCTCCTGGAGCCCTGCTTTTCTCAACTGGAAAATGGATGGCCGATCTTTCACCCCTTGGACTGTCAGGAGTAGAAAGTCTCTGGTTGTCGATGTCAGTTCTCTTTGCCTCCCCTATTTGACTACCGAGGAGCCTAAGGCCCAGAGAGGGCAGTGAGTGTCAACCTTAATAATGAGATTCAGATGATAAGATTAAATATTGAGTTTATTCGAGTTTGAGGGTGGCCACCAGGAAGGACACAGATACCCCCCCACCCACCCAAATTGGGGTCAGTGCTTCAGACTGGAGAGATTTGAGAATTGTTTATATAGGCAAGATCTGGGGGAGCTTAATGGAATTTCAACATTTTCCATACAAGGTCAGTGCATAGTTACAGCGATTTGCTTGGTTATAGGCAGTGTTTCTTTTCAGGAAGGGTATATTTAACATTCCACATGAAGGATGTAATAGTCAACGGGTCTTTCTTTTATCTCAGGCACCAACCAGTCTGAGCCAGGAACAAGAAAATAAGGAAGGGAATTAATTCATTTAAAACGAAAGGTCAATAAGTAAAAGGTCACGCTTGGTGGCTCAGTCTCCAAAGCCAATCTTCCTCATGGCCTAGCAACTTTCAGAGGCCCCAGATAGACAGACCGTCCACTTGTGTTGACACTAGCCAGGGGCTGGCCACAAGCCACGCCCAGCCGGGGCCAGCCCCTCCGGGCCCAGCTGCCCCCACCCCGGGGGCGGGGAGCCAGGTGCACTTCCGCGGGCCCAGGTGACCTGCATGTGGCGGGTCTGCGCGGTGCGAGACGCCCGTAGCAGCGATGACGAGCCTGACCCTTGTGTCCGCCCCCAAGATGCCGTGGCCCCCCCAGCCCCCGGTGAGTGAGAGGTCCGGTCGCGCTGGCGCCTGTCTGGTCCCCGCGCTGTCCCCCCGCCTAGTTCTTCTTTCTCGCCTTTCCAGTGCCTCCTGTCAGTTTCTCCTTCCGAGTCTGAGCCCCTTCTTCTGGGGCGCTGTCTCCCTTCACCCCTGTCTGGGGCCCTCACTTCTCTGTAGCTGCCCCTCTTGCTTTGATTGCCCTCTTTCTCGCCTGGGTCTCCGTTCCTTCTCCGGCCCTGTCCAGCCTCTACTCGGCCCTCTCTCGCCCGTCTGCCTCCCTCTCCGCTCGGTCTTTGTTTCAGTTCCTCTTTGTGTGTCTCCTGTCTCAGTCCCCTGGCTCGACCTAGTCCACAGCTCTTGCCCTGCCCTCCCTTACCCCTCAGTGGGAGAAGCTAATCCAGCCTGCCTGGCCAGAGGATCACTCCCTCACCCCAGGGCCCCATCTCCAGCCTGCAGTTGCCCTCTGGCTGGGTCCCCAGCCCCTCTGCATACCTGGCCCCCCTCCCTCGCTCTGAGTGAGAGGAGTTTGGGAGGATCAGGAAAAGGCCCGGTGCAATCTGGGAGCAGAAAATTCTGATTCTCTCCTGGACTGAGAGGAAGGGAAAGCAGATCCAGCAGAAGGGCCAATGTGGCTCTTTCCAATAGGGCGATGATAACGTCATTGTGGTTGGCAGTTGACAAAGCCACCTGCTCAGTGCCAGGACCGCGCCCTAGGTGCTCAGTAAATGCCTGAATTGCCGGGCAAGTGTAATGCACGGAGCCAGCACTGTGCACCATGCCAGGGCAAGATTGGCCTTTAACAGAATATGAGGTGCTCCTGTAAACCAGAGCTATGGGTAAGCTCCATTCAGTTCAGATGCTGAGCACTGTAGCAGGTACTGGTGACATAATGATGAACCGGGGACAGTCCCTCCTTTAGGAACTCCCAGTCGAATAGGGTTTATGTAGGACCCTCTGGGATCACAAGGAGACAGCACATCCAGAAGAATGTCTAGGGGAGTTAATTTGAAGGATGAATGGCATTGGTGAAAGCCAGTGGATGGCAAGCGAGTGAGCTCCTGGAGAGAGGGGGCCTAGCAGGTTCTGGGCAGGGGTAGAGAGTGGGCAGCAGGTGGTTGTAGTAGCTGACTGCTAGTGGTGAAGCAGCATCCCGCTTGCAGAGGGCCCTGTAAGCCTTGTTACAGAGCCCAGAGTTTATCTGGAAGGGAATGAAAAGTTGCTCAAGTGTTTAATGCAGGGAGTGACAGGATCAGATTTGCACTTCAGAAAACATACTCTCATTTCAGAGTGGAGAATGAATTGGGGGAGGGCATTAGAGAGGGCAGGGAGCCGTGGAAGCAACCAGGCAGACACAATTGGTGTGGGGGAGCTTGAAGGTGGGAGCAGAATATAAGATTGCCCTGGGTTTCTGGCTCAGACAACTGAGATGGGGAACAAGGAAAAAGGCCAGGATTGTGAAACATTTGTGACAGGATTTATGGATGAGATAGAAGGTCTAGGATTTGCAAAGGGATTGGGAGTTTTGGGGGGAAACGAGAGGGAAAAGAGGGTCATAATTAAGAAGCTGGGGGCTGGGTGGGGTGGCACATGCCTGTAATCCCAACACATTGGTAGGCCGAGGCTGGAGGGTCACTTGAGTCCAGGAGTTTGAGAAGAGCCTAAGCAACATAGCGAGACTGCGTCTCAACAACAACAACAATTTTTTAATTAGCCAGATATAGTGCTGTATACCTGTAGTCCCAGTTACAGGTGAGGCGGAAGGATTGCCTGAGCCCAGGAGGTCGGGGCTGCAGTGAGCTGTGATTGAGTCACTGTACTCCAGTCTGAGTGATAGAGTAAGACCCCAACTCACCAAAAAATAAAAATAAATAAGAGATTCAAGAACAGGGCTGAGGTCTTGATTAAGAAATGGGGCAGAGGATGTCAGGGCTATTTTTTGAAGCATCTGGAAATTAGCTTCAGAAAGGACATTTGAAATGATTGGATTCATGAGACTTTCAGAGCTGGATGGACTCAGACTTCTCTTGGTCCATTTTGCCTCCCTGTTTCCCTGGTCTTAAGCCCAGAGAAGGAAAGTGAACAGCCTCCGGCACACAGCTAAGTACTGGCACCAGTTGGGCAAGATGCCGGGAAAGGTGGGAAACCCACATCGAACAGATTCGATCTCAGCTCCAACTCCATCCCTTCCCTGCTGTGTGACTTCTCTTTGAGCTTTCCCCGCCTGTCATGGTGGGGATATTAGGAGGCTTTCAGTGGCATAGGAGTAATGAGAACATATCAGTCCATTCAAGGGTTAAGGTTTGCAAGTTCACATTTAACTGCTTCACAGAGGTGACCTCAGGGTTAACCAAACAGCCTGCCAAGGGGCCTTGAGGTTTATGGGAGACAGAAGGAGTCATATGCTCTGGGCTTATTTTTCTCAGCTCTATTGTTTGGGTTCTGTCAAGATGCAGCCTCTCCTCTGCCTTCTCCCCTCTAGCCTGCAGAACCGTCCCCTGGTAGGAGCTGTTGTCATGGAAACTCAGTTCTCCCCAGCAGTTTGGTTGCCTTTGGCTCTCTTAATTCTAGTACTTTAATCTTAGTGGTGGCTCACAGACCTGTTGAGAATGAGGTCGCACCTAAATCAGACTGAGGGACATTCTTTCTTTCTCTCTTTTTATTTTGAGTCAGTCTCACTCCGCCACCCAGGCTGGGATGCAGTGGCATGATCACAGCTCACTGCTGCCTCAACTTCTTGGCCTCGGGTGATCCTTCCACACTTTGGGTTACAACATCCACCTCAGCCTCCAGAGCTGCTGGGATTACAGGCGTGTGCCATATGCCCAGCTTATTTTTTTGAATTTTTGTAGAGACAAGGTCTTGCTATGTTGCCCAGGCTGGTCTCAGACTTCTGGGTTCAAGCACTCCTCTCCCCTCAGCCTCCCAAAGTGCTTGAGCCACCGTGCCCAGCCTGAGGGACATTCTTGAGCCCCAACCCCATCCTTGGCCCTGCAGTGACCTGTGGAGGAATTTCCAGGTTGGAAATCCAGCCTTCCCTCTAACATTGCACAGCTCTTTCCTGCAGCTGCAGCCATGACGCCCCCATCTCAGCACCTCTGTATTTAAACCATGTTTCCCTCTCTCCCCTGTGAGCTCCTTGGAGGCAGGGACTGTGTCCTATCCTTCTGCTTGGCACAAGGTTTGCATATAATAGGCCCTCCATATATTGTGCTGAATGAATGAGTCACTAAGAGAATGAAGACTGGAGGTATTTCAAGGTTGAAAATAATTTACTCAATGACTTAGAGTAGTAGAAGGGACCTGAGTTCAAATCCTGAATATCACTAGCTGTTTGAACTCAGGCAACTTATTTCATCACCTTAAACCTTAGTTTCTTTTTTCTTTTTTTTGAGTCGGAGTCTCACTCTGTCGCCCAGACTGGAGTGCAGTGGCCGCTCCCGGCCACCGCAGCCTCGACCTGCTGGGCTCCGGCGATCCTTCCTCCTCAGCCTTCCGAGTAGCCGGAATTACAGGCATGCGCTACCACGCCCAGCTGATTTTTTGATTTATTGTAGAGATGAGGTCTCGCTGCCTAGGCGGGTCTCGAACCCGTGGGCTCAGGCAATCCACTCACCTCAGCCTCCCAAAGGCATGGGATTACAGGCTGAGCCACCCAGCCCGGCTGAGATTTCACTATGTTGCTTAGGCTGTTCTCAAACTCCTGGATTCAAGTGACCCTCCAGCCTCTGCCTACCAATATGTTGGAATTACAGGCATGAGACACCCCACCCAGCCCCCAGCTTCTTAATTATGACCCTCTTTTCCCTCCTGGGCAACTTGACGAGACCTCGTCTTTACAATAAATCAAAAAATTAACCGGGCATGGTAGCACGTGCCTGTAATTCCGGCTACTCGGAAGACTGAGGCGGAAGGATCCCCGGAGCCCAGCAGGTCGAGGCTG